TTGTGCTGGAATAGTAAAGATTAAATACCATTGATATTACTCTGTGCTGTGTAACACTAGTAAACAGACCTTTCATTGATTTCCCCATCTACAAAATAGGTCTTTTTATGTGAAAAGTAACATTTCAGTAGCAAATTTAGATTTGAACTTCATATGCCCCAATACATGACTGGATCATCTTTCTCCAACTTGGTTTTGAAGGGACAACCTGATGATTTGAGCCATTCTGCAGAGAATAAATAATGCAATGTTCTTTTTAACAGGCAGTTTTTCATCTTGACATTAAATTACATTTATTCTTTCTAGGCAAGGAATTTCCACCATGTACAATCGAGGTTTTTAAAATAATGGAGAAAGTAGATTATCCCAGGAATAAGAATGGTGAAATTATTGCAATAATTCATCCTAAACTACAGGTAATTTCTAGAATAGTTTCCTTTTGTGACATTTTCTACTTATTCCTGTGTTGCTTCTGCTATATTGTTGTATATTTTAGTAATAAATATTTAAAATGCCAATATTGCCAAGGATTTTATTGAATATTTTAGACCTCCCCTAGGGTTAAGTTCTCTCACTAAGGTCATACATTCATTATTTCAGGAACTGTCTTGGGAGTCACTGAATCTAAAATCACTACAAAGAAAAAGCCAATAGGACAGCTTATATTTTAAAGTATAAATCTAATTTTAAATTCTAAAACGAGTGTCTGTTTTCAATTTTCAATCAATTGTGAGCATCTGCAGTTTCCTTCTAGTTCACTCTACCAGTGAATTCTGAAAATGAGGGCCAGACACACAAAATGAGGTACTAAGATTAAACAATTACTTTAAAAGCTTTTACCATAAACTGCAGAAATTTGCATAATTAGCATTAACTCAAGAATCACATAAAATATACAAAAACCTGAAAGTAAATATATTCTATTTATTTTCTTTCCCTAAGGATCAAGACTGGCAGCCACTGAAGAATGGTGATCCTCAATTTTTGACTCTTGATGGAGAAGTAATTCCATATCAGGGGGACTGTACAGTCTATCCAACATTTATTAATGAAGCTGCCTATTATGAAAAGAAACAAGCTTTTGTAAAAACAGAGAAAATCAAACTCACTGCAAAACACCTCAGGTTGTCAGTCTCAGAGCAGAGCACTTCTTAAGAGTTTTTTTTAATATAAAAAGTGAGTTTCCTTATGAAGTCCAGGGTCATTCAGTAGTTACTTGTGGGATACATAAATGCAGAATCTAATTTTAAATTGTAATTTAATTAACCTTGCTGAGCACTTTGAGATCTATTGTCATAATGCTGATTATGACTGTTTATTGTTCTAATAGACTCCTATAGATGCAAAGAATTTATAAATATTTTTGTGAAGTTTTTATGAAGAAGCTCATCCACAGTACTACATTATATACAAAAATTACAGCTTTTCTACTTCATAACCCCAACCCTCAATAACCAACACTTTTTACAATGGGTTAATCCTTAAATCCTTAAATTAATTCCTCAGGTAAACACACAAAATGTGAGACAAAGGAGAAGCTGGGCAGAGAGAAATGGGGGAAGAGTGTGTATAATAAATGATGTTATCTGCATATGTGACTGACCCCCACTGTGATGAAGTGGAAGCCTTGGGGTTTGTTTTGTTTTTATACTTACAAACATTAAAAGAAGCTAAAAGCAGGATTTCAGAGAAATATACCCTAAAAAGCTTTACATTTCACTTTAGTGTATTTCAGAATAAATTCAAGCTGCTTCTGATTTAAGACAAGATTTAGACAGTTATTCTGTTTTGATGAAGAGCAATGCACAAACCATACCTGAGTATTCCAGAATGGAAATTAAGAAGAATTCCATATGGAGAGACTTGTTCTGTATCTGTAGAGACAAAGCCTGTCAACATCTTAAAAAGATAAAAAAATGGGGGTTTAATTCATTTTCTAAAGTTGTTTTTTACACATTTGACAAGTAGGTGATAAACATTAAGAATTTTGAATAAAGACACGTTAATTATTTACTGAAAGATTAATTATCCAGATAACTCCTATATTCTACCTTTGAAATGTGATGTCACCCTCATTTACTATTAAATTTAATAGTAAATGAGGGTGGCTAAACCCAAATAAGGAAATGTGGGAGGGGCTAGACCCAAATAAGGAAATGTGGGCAGGGCCAAACCCAAATAAGGAAACATGGGTGGGTTAAACCCAAATAAGGAAATGTGGGCAGGTCTAGAACCCAAATAAGGGAATGTGGGAGAGGCTAAACCCAAATAAGGAAAAGTGGGAGGGGCTAAACCCAAATAAGGAAATACTGGTGGGGCTAAACCAAATAAGGAAATGTGGGCAGGACTAAACCCAAATAAAGAAATGTGGGAGGGGCTTAAAACAAATAAGGAAATGTGGGAAGGGCTAAACCCAAATAAGGAAATGTGTGTATGTCTAAAACCCAAATAAGGGCATATGGGCATGGCTAAACCCAAATCAGGGAATGTGGGCATGTCTAAAACCCAAATAAGGGCATATGGGCATGGCTAAACCCAGATAAGGAAATGTGGGATGGGCTAAACCCAGATAGGGAAATATGGGCGGGGCTAAACCCAAATAAGGAAATATGGGATGGGCTAAACCCAGATAAGGAAATATGGGCAGGGCTAAATCTAAATAAGGAAATGTGGGATGGGCTAAATCCAGATAAGGAAATATGGGCAGGGCTAAATCTAAATAAGGAAATGTGGGATGGGCTAAACCCAAACAAGGCAATGTGGGCAGGGCTAAAGCCCAAATAAGGAAATGTGGGCAGGGCCAAACACAAATAAGGGAATGTGGGCAGGGCTAAACCCAGATAAGGAAATGTGGGAGGGGCTAAACCCAAATAAGGAAATGTGGGATGGGCTAAACCCAGATAAGGAAATATGGGAGGGGCTAAACCCAAATAAGGAAATGTGGGGTGGGCTAAACCCAAACAAGGCAATGTGGGCAAGGCTAAAGCCCAAGTAAGGAAATGTGGGCAGGGCTATTTTTTCCTTGCCTTTTTACCACTCCTATGGCAATAAAATAAAAAAAAAAAAACAAACAAAAACCAAAGGACAATGTTGATTGACAAGTTTTATTTCCTTAACTTAAATAAACATGGTATAAAAAGCATAAAATTACCTGCTCTAGTCATTATTCAGAGTATCTGGAGACAGCACGTGGTTGGTGTGAGGTGGCCAAGCTCTGTGGCCACACAAGGAGGGATTTCCTCAGTGAGAGTTTTTTAGGAGCAGCCCCCAGCTGGTTCCTGAGTTCACCCACAGGTTTGTGCCTGGGCAGAGGCACAGCACATTCTTATAGGGGTTTTTTTGTTTCTTGTAGGGATTTTTGTGCTTTTTTCACAGCCCAGAGCAGCCTTAACACAGTGCAGAGGCCTCGTTGTGTTTCCAGTGGCCTCACAGCCCAGGCTGGTTCCTGAGTGTGTGTGAAGAGGTATTTTTTTTTTTCCCTTTGTACAAAACTGGCACAGAAAGGATCCAAGCAGAGCTGAGCAGTCCTGAGGCAATGTCCTTCCTTGGCAGCCTTGGTGCAAAATCAACAATCCAAGATCCCAAGACCACAGGAACTTCTCATCCTCACATCTCCTGCTGAGGAAGCCAAGCAGTGCTGGGGTGTGACGAGGTCTGTGGGTACACAAATGTCCTTCCCTCCAATTCCTGTGTCCAGAACACAGCCCAGGGCTCCTGTGGATCCCATCCATCCCTGCAGGCAAGGCTGGAATCTCAGGGCATGGTGTCTGTCAGTGGCAGGCTGGGCAGCAGGACCCACTTGCACCATCCCTGTAAATATTTTGCATTTTCCTTCCCACTGCAGGCTTCACTCATGCTCTCTTCTGTCTTAAGAAAGTCTTTTGGATCATTTTGCCCACAGCTGCAAAATCCAATGCAATTCTTATTATCATTCAAACACAGAACTGAGTTCCCCTGAGTCTCACCTAAAATAGCACCTTTAAAACAGGCACCACATGAATAATTCTGATGAAAAGCCATGACACTGGAGACACATGTTAATTGAAATTTAAAAGCACACAGAACAAATGTTTCTCCTTATATATACACACACATAAAATAGAAAACTAAAAATATAAATAATAAAATTCATAATACTATGAATTATATTATTAGAAAACTAATAATATAATTCATAGTACTTGGTCACCACAGGTAATTAAATAAAAGCTACAGAAATGCATTACAGAGTCCTCTGAATAAAAAATAAAGTCTGGAATTGCATTGCACTGAATTAATTTTGTTCACCTGGGGAAGAAATTGACTTCTGATTTTTCTGAAGTGGTTAAATGCAAAAATTAATTCAAAAGAACTTCCAGTGTGGTAACTCTTTATGTAGGAAGATGGGTCAAGGACGAAAAGTAATATTGTGACTGGAGCAAAAATCCTCCATCAGGAATTCTATTTCTGCCCTGTTGTTTCATGGGGAGGCACAGACACACAATAATAAATAAACAGCAATAAACTCCAGTTACACCCTGGGGACTGCACAGAGGAAAACAGATCAGGCAAAGCCACTGGGATCTGATTTTCCAACTCATGGGCCCAAGCCCCCAGTAATACTGACAGTCAATGCAAAAGCTGCAAATGTATCCAGAACCTTGTGACTTCAAAATGACATACTGCATTTAGTCATCTTCAGAACTGAAATGCTTTGCTTTGCTCCACAACAAGAACTTTTTTGTTTCAATGCACAAAATGAGTTTCTCATGAGTTAGGGATTCCAAAAAGCAGCAGATTGGGATCACGATGACCTTAATTTTCCACTAAAAGAAGAAATATCTCACATTTGACCTTTTTTAATCCAGTTAAACATCTCAGGCCAAGTTTGTGGAGCATCAGGCAAACTTGGACAGCAACAGTTTGAGAGGCTCAGAACTGACCCAGTGAAATAATCCCATTTATTTCAGCTCAGCTGCTCTGAATAAATGGGTGCAAGCCATCAGACTGTGTGACTGAAAGTTTGTGTTCCAGCTGGCTACAGCTGTCCAGAACAGCCACAAAGCTTTCAGATCCACTGCTGATGCTTTTAACCTTCAGAAGAGCCACACGTCAAGCCCAGCACAACTAAACAGAGGTTTCAGGCAAATCATCCATTTCTTCAAACGTGTTCAGGGTGTTTTTGCTATTAGTTCTTGAATTATCATCTTGAATTTTGCTTGGATCTGCAAAAAAATGCATTGTAAACAAAACAGGATATGGTAGAAACTGTATAGGCAAGATCAGAGTTTTGCACCTTTTTTTTTTTTGTTAAAAACATGTATTTATTTAAACAGCAAGCTCTCAGTTTGCTACCATATCTTCTACAGAAATTTTTCACCTCAGAGGGAGAAAAATTTCTCCATTTCTCCAGGACACTCCTGCCCTGGCAGCAGATGGATGTCTTGGATTTCCTGGCCAATATTTAGCTCATCCACTATATATGTTACAAAACTTGTTTGTCACCAACCCTCTCTCCAAGTCTTTAAAAATAATTTAACACCACTGCCATATTAAACATTAGTTTCTCTAACAATAATATGTGGTTTAATATAAGAGTTTATATTTTTAAAGGTATAAAGTTGGATCAAAAAGCATTTCTAAGAAAAGATTCTCAAATAGGGTGTCGTAAAATTCCATAGTACCTGTTGGCCCTGGATCTTCATTAATAAATGAAACATGGGTTTTCCACTCGGTCCATTTCACTTCATTAATCCTGTTTACATTTACATAAATTGTGTTATCAGCATGAATTATCCCCCAGCTACATCCCTGACCTTCCCCTTTGATTCCTTCCTGGGATTGTCACACTTGACCACCTGCTTTGCTGGCACTAAAGCCTGAATGTCTTTTGCACTATATGAAGGTGAGAATAATATCAAGACTACTTCATAATTTCACACATTGTTAGTACAGCCTTGAAATATTTAAGTATTTTTCATTAAACAGCACAGTTCTTTAATATGGTAATCATCAATTACCAATCAACTTAACTGTGATTGCTTTTAAGCTGACATTCAAAGGAGATTATGATAAAGTGACATTTACTGCAAACAGATTTGATGCTTCTACAGTCAAAACATATGAAGATGAAAATCTTTTCTCATCAAAAGATTGCCTACATAAAAATTTATACATTTTCCCTATTTAAACAACTGGCTACAACTGAAAAAAATTGTATTTTTCTGCATAATTTGTAGAGATAACAGAAATGTTTTAAAGAGGGTTTTGAGGAGAAATAACCTTGAAGCAACATAAAGAGAGCAGAATTGATAGCACATGATTCCAGCTTTGCTTTACCTTAAACACACCCTGGTGTCATTTTCAGCCACTTTACACCGTTCTCCCAGCTGGAATTTTTTCCTCAGGCATTTTGGTAAGAATTTTTCAAATTCCAAAATAGTCCTGGCTCTCTATTGGCAGTAAATAGTAAAATGAGAATGGTTAGCCGTGGTCTGATTTCACATGCAGTTTGCAGTTTATAACAGGTCAAGAGCCAGCACCAAAACCAGCAAATCACTGATAATTTGTGCAAACAGGGATTCAGATTCCTGGAAAAATAGTGAAACAGATCATCCAGGGGATATATGGTGATATAACCAGGGGAATGCAAGTCATGACAGTGCATGGGTTGGAAATCGAAGCCATGATATCATCTTTAAGATTGTTAATTCCAAAGTTCCTACAATTCTCTAATACTGGATTTATTTATGTCTGTTATTCATGCAAAACCAAATGAGGATTATCTTTAACACTTAACCTTCTGTGTCAGCATGAAGGTTTTAGCCCAAGCACCTCCCAAATTCCCAAACCAACCTGGAGTTTCCAGATGTGCTCACTCTCCTTAGAAATATCCTCTACAGTCTCTCCCATTAATGCAATCAGCATGTTCAAGAGAAGAACAAAAGTCAGCACAACGAAAGTGATGAGGAGCAGGAGGAAGAGCACGGGGTACTTGGAGTTCTGCTGGATCTCCAGGTCACCCAGCCCCAGGGTGAGCTTGAACAGATCCATCAGGACAGGCCCCAGGCTGCTGTTGGAGTGGCACTCCCCACCCTCCTGGCACGTCTCAATCAAGGCAGCCAGAGCTGGGAAGGAAGCAGAAGGAAGTTTCAGTCACAATCATTATTTAGGAATACAGAATCATTATTTAGGAATACAGGGATTTCATCCCAAAGAATTCAAACTGCAGATGAGAGCCAGAGCTGCCCAGCCACACAGAGCAGCCAGGTGACAGCTCCAGGAGGTAGAAGGAGTCCACAACCAAATGAGATTCCAGGGATTTGAGACAGGGAGGCAAACCTATTCACACCTAAACTTAACATCCAGAATAAACCCCAGCATGAGCTCTCATGCAAACAGGGTTCTTATTCATAATAATGCTAAAATTTTTACCCACACAGAGCATTAGTGCTTTTCTCCGGTAATATTTACCTACACCAAATCCCAGCAGAAACACGATGTACACAACCAAAAACTTGATCACATCTTGCAGGATGACCTGAAAATGGAATGGAACAGTTGACAGAAATGAAAATTCAGAACTAGCTTTGTGCTTTTGAATTCTGCAGGGACACAGGTGAGGCACACACTGAAGCATCAGACTGCTCTCCTTGAGCAAACAAACCCAAAGGTCTGATTTTTTATCTCAAGCCTGCTGTGCTGAGAGTGACTAATTCTGTACAATACAGACATTGCAGATTATGATGCTATTAAATTGCAGAACTACATTAGCTGGAAAAAACACAAGCTACTCATATATTTAATGTAATAAAAATGTCAATATTAAGGTACAAACTAGTTCCTGCTGTTGAAGAAGAACAAATATTGTGTTCTGCTGAAGTAATGCATAAAAACTGGAAATAAGGAATTAAAAAACAAACTATAAAATACATATAATTGGTAAATATACTTGATTTAGACTGTAGAACAATGGAGTATCATCAGGCAGGTAAAAGAAAAGAAAAACTTGCCTTTTGAATCATCACACTGTAAATGCCCATGGACTGGAAACCTCTGGTGAAATAGAGCATATTGGCCCAGCCAAGGGCCATTGCCAAAACAAGACACACCAGGTGTTCTTTGTAGGAAAACAAGTACAAAAAGACAGAGAAGATCACAAGCAAAGCTTGTATAAAACTGTTAAAAAACAAACATATACGTAAAAGAGAAATTACTAGCACAAAACCAACAACAGAATGGCAAAATACGAAAACAAGATTTCTCTGCTCTTTAGGCTTAATTTGTAATTTCATGCTGCTTTTTTATTCTCCCCATGAAATTGGCATTATAGCTTAATGATAAAATAGGTCAGTGCAAGCAGTATAAGTGTATTAACATATAAGGATTATATTTATTAAATTTAATTTAGGTAAACTATTCTCCCCAAAAGAGCTGCTCAATGCAGATAATGCTGACAGAATTGTAAGAATCCTTACAACATTCTAGAAGCCATTTAACTGTAGCTTTAGCTTAATGAATTGATAGAATTATTAGAGATTTTCCACTGGCAAGTGGGAAAAATCCACTCCAGCCACATCAACCCTGGAATTGTTACTGACAGCATAGCCAAGAGTTTGTGTTAGGGAATAGCTGCAGGCAAACTTACATCCATCCCTCTAAAACTGATAATTTTGAGGAGAAAAAGTGAATATCTGCTACAGGAGCACATTCTCTGTGACCATGAGATAGAGAATTTGATATATAGTAGAAAAAAAAAATATATATGTCAAACTTACAATGCAAAGTGGAACCAGGCATCAGAGAGAATGGACTGCAGGTCTGAGGGCCTGAGCAGGAAGATGGCCACACTCTGTGCAGGCAGAAACAGAAAATGGTGAAGAGAAAACGAACCTAAACATCTGTTTTTCAAAATAATTTAACTGGTGTTCTTAACTAATCCACCTACTGATAAGATGTGGTAACTTCTAGAATTAATTTTTTATAGGGCTCTGTAAATTCTGTAATTTATATTACAGATATTTTTAATATCTGTAAGTTCAAAGGTTAAAATTCTGTCATCTCTGGCACAATTTAAGTTACTGTTTTTAATTACTTACATGGCAAAGTTATACCGTGGGATTTCTTTTTCATTACAACTTGCAATTCTTTTTTCCTTAAAGCCAATAATTTGACAAAACTGATATTATACAAATATCAGATCAATTTGAAAAGCAAATATCCTTATATTTATTTCACAGTTGTAATCAAATGTATAACCAGGGTCATTCTGAATAAGGGATTGTGTTAAAGATTTGAAAATTACACATATAAAAGACACGCCATGTGTATTGCCAATATCAGCAGCAGCATATTCATAAATTTAGAGAAGTTCTTTACAAATCAGGTATATATTTGTTACAAAAAAAAAAAAAAAAATCTTACCTCTTTTATGGCTAAAAATATTGCTCCTAACATAACCATCACCTGTCCTGACAGCTGCAGCCACCCCACTCCTCGGGTCAGAGCCAGTGGATAAGGAGGAGCCTGCAGAGCAAATCCAGAAGGAAAATCTCTGTTCCATTCCTGAAGGGTGAAAGGAAAAGCAGCAGAAACCCTCCCACCTGTAACTCTCTGGGTTCTCAATTTCTTCCCTTCCAGGGAGAATTTTCTTGATGTATTTACACAATCAACCCCCTAAGAGTGATGTTTGAAATATCAGAATTTTCTTTCTTAAAAAACCCCCAAATACTCTCTTCCCACCTTCAGAAATTTCACAGTCTTTGTATCATTTATTTGTATTTCAGGTCACTTCCAGAAAATGCAGATCTGATGCTCCCACACAGATGTGGGGATGTGGTCTCTCTATACCCAGATATTCCAATATCTGGCCTTGTTTTAGCATTTTAAACACAATTCAGGAAATACTGTTGCTTTTTAAGTCAGTAAAATTTAGTGAGCTTCAGGTGCTGTACTCACTTCATTTTCATTAGGCCTGTGGTAGGAAACCAATGTTAATGTCACATTGTACAGGAAATAAAAGCAGCAGGACATGAAGAACATGTGCCTTGCAAACTTCTTCCATTTCATCCTCAGCAGTGAGTTCAGAGGCTCCAAAGTCAGCATCTCGTGACGATTCTGAGGAGAAAAAAAATAAATAAAAACTTTAAATATTTCATCTTGCTGCCTGTAAGGAAACTGAATTTTAGGTGTGAATTTTGTGTATTTCATTCCATGCTGTCCTTGCTGCTCTAGAAACACCTCTGTGCTCAGGGATGGGCCAGATCTCCCTGGGATGGAAAAGACTCTCCCAAAATAACTAATCTGTGGTGCAGGAGCTGAATGCATATTTGCTTGCAGCTGACATTATGCAGCAGCATAAAATTTATCTTGTTCCTGATACAATAACTGAGAACCAAAAATTACTGTTCACAAGCAATTCAGTTGTTTGCAAGGCTGACAATTCTAATATGGGGATACTGCTAGGGAAAAATTATATTTTAATATAATTAGAATAGTTTATTATTATATTAACTGTATTATCGTATTCTTATCTATTTAATAATTTAATATTTTATTATAATAATGTTTTTGCTATATTTTAATAATATAAATTTATATTTTATATAAGAATAGGCACCTTACCCCAATATTTGTGTTATAGACAATGATTTCCAGCACTGAGTTGTCAGCAGTGGTGTCCAGCTCTGTCAGGTCATACAGAGAAGACTGAACAGGACCATAAGCCCAGTCTGTGAATTTTCTTGACAGGCTCCTGTTTGGCTTCTCTCTGATCTCTCTGCTCAGGATGTACTTCAGAATCTAAAACATGAACAGATCATTTGTCAGCAGCTGTGCTGCTCAGGGAAAGGAGAAACACAAGAATACACTTGCCCAAACTCCCACCTTTTATCTGTAACAATTTGTGCAGTTGCTCAATTTAATGTATTTGTAATTTTGTTATTCAGTGAGGGGCACTGGAGGTGAAAAACCTCTAAGAAATAAGTTGTGTTTTTAATGCCTTCAGATTTTCTGTCAGAGATATTTTTCTAAAGGATGAAAGCACAATTTTCCATGTGTTCATTTATGCCTTCCTTGAACTTAATTACTTTCTAAATCATTCAATTGCCAATTCTTTACACTGCAGTTGATTTATGCAAACCAAACTCTACAGCAATACAACAGAGCAGTTCTAGTGAGATTTCTGAAATTGCTTGGTGGTAAATGTAGAATTTCTCTACAACAGAAGGCTGGTTCTAAACAGCTTGTGTGGTTTGTACAGAGGGAAGGAGTTACAGAGAAACCTGGAAGCATTAAAACAACACTGCAATGGAAATATTTGTGTTTTAAACAAAATTAGCTCACTGATACTGATACAAACCAGCCTGGAAAGAGATGTGTCAGAGCACAAGATTCTCTTGGATGCTGCTGAACTCACACCCACCTCTAATTTCCCAGTTTTTGCAGCTAACTGCAGTGGTGTCAAACCCTCCTTATTCTTGGTTGTTTCCAGGTTTCTGTCTCTGCTTTTCAACAGGATCATGTCATACATTCTCATCACAAAGTCATTCTGTGTTTTGGAGTCCTCTGCCACGGTCACTAGTGCATGGAGGATGTTGTTTCCTCTGGAATCCTGAGAGGAAATGTTGGTCCTGGCATTGTCCATTAACAGCTCAATTATGTCTGGCTGGTTGGTACATGCTGCCAAAGCCAGTGCAGTCTCACCTGCAGAATCACAAAATGCAACAAATGATCATGGTTTATTTCATCAGAATAGAAAATATTATATTAACCATCTTAATATATTGATTGTACTGGATTAAGCTCTTATTTTATGGAAGTTTTGGGTATTTCTTCTTAACTTTTTCAGAAATATCTCAATTCCACTTACCGAAATAAAAGCCTTCATGCTTGTGTTTGGGATTAAAGAAAATTCCCTGGGCACGAGCATTGACATCAGCTCCTTTCTCTATGAGGCTCTGGGTGATTTCATACTGTCTCCTCTCAATGGCAATGTTTAGAGCTGTCTGGCCTGGAAAAGCAGACACAGGAATTTAGGGCTGAGTCTCTCAAGCACACTCTGCAACATTAATGATGTTTCACAAAATATTGCACCAGTGACAATGAGTAAAAGTTGGTTCAAGGGATTTATTATTTTATATAGGTTATGTTTAACCATATACCTGAAACTGCTATCAGATGGCAATACCTTTATATGCCTCTTCTGTGTATGCTGCATTGATAAATCTCTCCAAAATGCCATTTTCCTCTGCAAAGGACAGGAGCATGTTCACTATCTCATTTGTGTTCTGGTTGATGTTCAGCAGAGCTTTCATCAGACAAGTTTTGCCAGTGTCTGAAGCCGTGAACTTCTTCATCAGGTAATCTACAGGAGTGAATTTTGAGATTAAATCCTTTTAATTTATTAAGCTTCTGTTCATTAGGGGTGAAACCTGAGGGATATAGATGGACACAAACCATTTCCCAAACCAGTACTCCATCCTGTTCACTTTGTTCTTGAGCACCAAGGCAACCTTGGTGTTCCTCTTGGACATCCTGGCGCCAAAACTCCCAAATTCCCAGGGAAATAAGGACCATTCATAGGGAATGAAAGACCATTCCCAGGTTTAGGCTGCCCCTCAGCTGCCAGAAGAGCTGGCAGGCCTCCCCTGATGCCTTGTGAAGGCTGACCTAGAACAGAGTCTAGATGGAATTAAAGAATAAAGCAGGAATTTATTAAAAGGATCTCCTCAATGGATCCACCTTGGGCAGCACAAGAGCCCAGCCAGGGCTGCACCCAAGATGAACCAAAATAGTGACAAATGAACCCAGGATGAACCAAAATGGGCACAAAATGAACCCAAGATGAACCAAAATGGTCCCAAAATGCATGACTGCTCACAGGGTCTCTCACTTTTATAAGTTCTGTGCCATTTGCATATTGGAGTTAATTGTCCAGTTAATGCTTTAGCTTATGAAGTCCCATCCTTCCTGTTTTTCTCTCTTCGGCCCACGTTGTTTGTGCTCTTGGGCCTGAGATTTGGATCATTTGTCCTTGGTCCCCAGCTAGACAAGGAATTGTTTTGTGAGAGCTCACCACTCCCTAATATAAAGCTCAGAATTGCACATTAAAGCAGCAGAGAATCTAAAAAACCACAAAATCTCCCAGCTGAGGCACCAGCCAGGTGCCTGCAGGGCTCACCTGGCACGGGCAGGGAGGTGCAGGCGCCCGAGCGCTCCCTGAGCTCGGCCAGCAGCCGCTGCAGCTCCTCCACGTTCCCCTCGGACACTGCCCGGAACAGGTTCCTCTTCAGCTTCTTCCTGGCACTCCTCAGCTCAGGCCCTTGGCATGTGGTAGCACTGGATTGTAAGAAATCATCATGAAATTGCTGGTGTGATTTATGCCGGTTTATTTTATTTTTTTAAGAAGAGTAAAACCAAATACAGTTGTTGGCCCCAGACTGGATGAACTTGCCCCACTGCCAAGGATAGCTCAGAACATTTCTCCCATTGCTCATTTGCAGTAAGTGGGCTGTTGAGAGGCTGCTTTATTATAAACAGCACATTTTTCAAGTATTTTGTGTTTTATTCAGTTTATCCATTCTTCTAGAATAAATGCTAAGGAGCACTTCTTTTCTCTGCCACACTGACTGCAATGCTGAGGTTACATGGTGCAGCTCTCACAGCAGAACAGAGTTCTTTACCTCACATCTTACACCACTTTCTGATCATCCTTTATTCATGAAACAGCTGCTGCAACTTATCCTGGTTTATTTTATTTTTAAGAAGAGTAAGACCAAATATAATTGTTGGCCCCAGACTGGATGAACTTGCCCCGCTGCCATGGATAGAACATTTCTCTCATTGCTCATTTGCAGTAAGTGGGCTGTTGAGAGGCTGCTTTATTATAAACAGCACATTTTTCAAGTATTTTGTGGGTTTTATTCAGTTTATCCATTCTTCTGGAATACAGGCGAAGGAACACTTCTTTGCTCTGCCACACTGACTGCAATGCTGAGGTTACGTGGTGCTGCTCTCACAGCAGAACAGAGTTCTTTACCTCACATTTTACACCACTTTCTGATCATCCTTTACTCTGGAAAAAGAATGATTTCATATTTCCCCCAGGCAGAAATACTCCAGGCCTGGTTGTGGTGTGTGGGCCCTGTGTTGCCATGTAAAAAATACCCATTTTATATAAAGAATCCTCACACTAAATATGAAAATTGAGAGATTAGAGTTGCTTATTTTGACATTTAATTATTGAAGGATCAGAAAGGCATGTACAAACATGATCTTTTTTTTTTTTTTAAACTGGCAGGAAAAATAGGTAAAATCTACCCTACCACAGATTGACTCAGTGCTGAGAAATATTTGTGTTTCCACTCACCCACAGCTGTCCACATTGGGGCTGTATTCAGTGGCATCATCCTGAAGAGACTGGGGGGAATCCATGTCTTCCCCATTTGCAGATGCACTGTAGAGAAAGAAAAGCAAATGTGCCAAGGTATTAGCAGGTATTTTGGCAAATTGCACAAAGAACCAGTCAATGGCAGGTTACAGTATCTGCACTAGAGCTTAAATTAGTCCAATTTGACATTGGCCTTTTAATTCTATCATTTTATCTCCCACATGGATTTTAAAGTGAGTGATAAAAATGAAGAGACTCACAGGATTTTATTATATTTTAAAAAAAGACCACATTAGGAAAGCAATCTGCTTTGTGTTTTATTATTTCACTACAGATCCTGAAAACCGTGGGAACTTTTTTCTTTTTTTTCTTTTTAATGATCACTGCTTTTTATGCAGCACCCTGAATGCTTGAAGCTTGCGTTCTCCCTTTTCACATGCCTAATTTGTCATCTGGCACAAAACAAGTGCTAAATCAGTAGCAGTGAGGGGGTTGCAAGCCCACAATGAAAGATTTACCTAAAGATTTACTACACAGAACACTGGAGGCAATTCAGGAGTGTTTTGTGGCTGACTTGAATGAAAGAAATTGAGGACTGGGCCCTAAATAGATGTGTAGGTGATATATTAAAAGGATTTTCAATGGCATTGATATTTTGTAATTGCTGTACATAATTTCCACACGGTCCTAAAAGCAGATCTGACTTAGAAAAATTAAGATAAATGAGTTTCTTACTTGTATTTTTGTTTCTCTGAGGTTCAGATTGGATGAACTACCTCAGGTTAATAATTTAGGGAACCTGAGCTATTAATTATTGGCAAAACAGATGCATGGACAGCACTGCTGTGCTGGTATTCCCTTGTCTTTGAAATAAATCTGGGAGCTCTGAGTCCATTCTCATTCCATCTGTCTCCTCTGCAGAAAGCTGAGTAATGTGGTGACAAAGCACATGTGTAGGTCACTTCCTGAATGACAGGGGGAAATTTGGGCACCTCTCCTCTGAAACCAAAATCAGCCTGTCAGCCATTTCCTAAAAGCTGACCAGGCATCCTCAGCCACAAAAACCTTTGGCCTGTGCCTGATTCTGGGCCTGTGCCTGATTTGTGACATATTTCACTTATTCATAATTATTGGTTATTAGCACCTCACACATTTTTTAAAATTAAATGTATTCATCCCAGTCATAATTTTTCTCTATTCATTCAGCATAAATGGCTGCTTTAAATATTTCACATTCAGCATTTCCACGTTTGATTGTTAATGAGCAATAGAGGGAAGACGTCAGCAGCCAGCTGGGAACAGCTAAATTAGGCTGTGGTCTTCACACTGCAGAAAACATCCAATGAGAGCATGGAGTTTGTTCTAATAAGAGGCTAAGATTAAAAAAAAAACTGATTTTAAATTTATTCAGATCTGAGGCCTGAGTTATTCCATAGAAACAACAGCAGTAGATAAAACCAAAGATAAATCTCCAGTGAAATTCTGTCTTTGAAGTGACCAAAAGCTGTAAAAAGTCATGTGAAATCCTGGCAGTGAGGCCCAAGGAGAATTAAAGGGAAGGTGCTGGAAGAAAATGGATTTATTTGCAGCAGAAGCATTGCTTGTGCATCTGGAACTTACCAGGGGCGAATATTGGAATCCATGGGTTTGGAAAACACAGGGGGAGAGGTGTTATTGGGACTGGCATTGCTTTCAAAACCATCAATCTCCAGGAAAAAGTGGGAACTGTTGAAGACAGTGCATTTAAAGAAATATCAGTGATAAAAGGCAAGCCCAACCTTAAACCAAGAAAAGAACTACCAAGGGCAAGCTTGATCATTTATCTCTCCTGGCATTAAAGATGAGGCTTATCTGCTTTCCCTGAGGGGATCCCAGCCTGTGCCCAGCTCTGCCAGGCTGGCAGATGGGTAAAATTCCCAAGGTATTTTTGGAACACATGGCATCAGATCCTGACATGTGTGAGCAGCAATCTCTAAACCAGCCTTGCACCCAGTTTCTGTCACTGCCCAGCCACACAAAAATGGTTTTTTAAAATCCCAGTCCCTGCTCTTCCAGCCAGGAGCCATCAGGATGGATCATTTCAAACAGTGATAGTGATTAAATCAGAAAGTTTGAAAGGTCACACGTTGAGTGACATCAGGCATTTCCACCAGCCAGGGCTGAATGTGTCCCCTTGCCTGCAGAATGTTTAATTGCTTTCTATATAAATAATTACATAAATATTGATAGTGAAAAGAAATAAAATTTGGAACAACACAGACAAAGGGATACAAAAAAAAAGATTTCACCTTTTAAAAGCCTGCAGAGTTGAGAGGCAAAAATCAATGGCTTGGTTCTACTGGATCTCAGTAAAATATTGCTACAGCTCCCACAGACTGAGGAGTTTCAGGGGTGGATGCAGCAACTCCCACAGGGGCTGTTGTTCACAAACTGCCTTACAGCTCTAAAATATTGCTGTAGTCACCTGGAAAACCTTTCTAATTCACCTAATATTTATGGGTTTGTCCATAGGGCATGTCTTATCTAACTGCACTTCCAACAAGATGTTTTGGGGAAGATGAAGTAGTTGCATTGATGGGAAAATGCAAAAAAAATCTTATTTAAAATGGTATTATTAGGACACCAGTGAACAACCTGCTGATATTTGCTAAAATCAGCAGTATCTATTAGTTCCAAATAACAGTATCTGTTAGTTCCAAATAACAGTATCTATTAGTTCCAAATAACAGTATCTATCTAGTTCACCTCCTTCTCCAATGGCTCGATGGTCCAGGCGTTAATTCTGGCACCCAACATCTGTGCAGCAGCTGGCAAGGGCACCCTGCTCTTGGGGCTGACAGATCTCACCTCTCCTGCCTTGGGGCTTACCTGGGCATGTCATGGGAGGGAAATGACACCCCAAAGCCACCGTGCAAAGCAGGGTGCCATCAAATAGCCCTGTGCTGACGTGGCTCTGCCCACAGCCATCAGCAGCCCTGGCAGCCTCCTCCCCACCCTCCCCTCGCACTTCCTGTGCTCAATTCCAGCCCCAGAACACCCCAATTCCAGGGGATTCCAGCAGGGAATGCCACTGTCTGTCAGAAAGTGAATATTGAGAGTGAGAAATGCCACTCTGGGAGTGCAGCAGCTCTGCTGGGGCAGGGGAGGGAGAGGTTTGAAGCAGCAGCATGGAGCAGCGTTGGAACATTTAATTAATAGGATATGTTAAAGCCCTCATTAAAATTCACGTGATGTGGGTGCTGTGTGTTGCAGGAATGCTGCCAGCCACACCCTGAGCTCTGGTTTGAGAAGGGGGAAAAACCCCAAGGTTCCTGTTCCTGAGGCCACAAGGAGTGAGAGATTTGGGCTCAGTGATTGAGGGCTCGGCTTTGGCAGTGTTCCTATAACTCCACAATCTGCCAGGGAATTGCCCCTTTTTGAAGTGCTGGGTGGATCATGAGCTGTTCAGACACTTTGTCTCCCCCCATATGCCACCAAAGAGCTTCTCTTCTTGAATTTAATGACAAAAAGAGAAACTGGACCACCCAGTCAGTGGATCTCAAATAACTAATGGCACCATTCCTGTGAAAAGTGATTCCTCTGATTATTGAGAATTATAAATGTCAGAACAGCCACAATTGGCCAGGCCTTCAGAGTTTCAGAAATTGCCATAATAACCAGTAATTATTCAGAATGAAAAGTTTATGAATAAAAATTCATCCTCACTCTACAGTAACTTAGTTGACTCCATAGTATCAGGCAGGAATTACAGCTCATATTTCCCCATTCATATTAAATACAAACCCTCAATCCCTTTATTAATTCTCTAATATCAATTATGAATGAAAGTGAATATTTTATAAAACAGCAAAAAAGCCTCATTAACCAGACTAATGAAAAAGAGAGTGAATTTAGGTTTCTGTTTGTGATAGAATTTTTCAATCGTGCTCTCCCTGCCCTCTGTCTCTCCATAGCCTCACATGGAAATGTGACAGATTAAGTTTGAAATGCTCCCTTTTTTCAGGCCAGCATCTCTTAGATAAAACCTGGTGTGTTCTTCCATGTGATCTCTTAAAAAAAAGATCACTTTATACCAAACATTAACCATCATTAGATCAGATTTTTGTGAGGTTACACAGAACAAAGATATTGGTGGTATTTCAGTGCAAAGATGCCCCAAAGGAGATAAACAGGGAATTTTAATGGTTCAGACTGAGTTGAGTCCTACCTTTTCTTGGTGGGAGTGCCTTCAGTCACCTTTTTCTCTTGCTGGTTTGCAGGGGGATTTCCAGGTGGGTTTGTTTTCTTGCCCATTAGTGGAAGAATTTCGTTGTTATCTTTAATCATGTTTCTGCAGTAGAGAAACATCAGTTACTTGACTCGTATTCCTTTGAAGGAAGTGTGGTGACCAAATTACCTGTTTACAGTTTCTTCACATGTAAACACACAAATATTGACATATTCATTCTTTTTCCCCCCAAGTTTCTCATTTTTCAGCCTTTAAGGACACACCTCCACCATTTCATGTGTCAAATCTGGAGGGTTCCACACATGACTCATTAAATTTCAGTCTATGACAAGTGCCATTAAAAGTGGTATCAGGACAACCATAAATTCAAGCCTGTGCCTAAATTAAACTGAAAGGAGCCTGTCAGTCCCAGTAACAGTGTGTGTTATTTAGAGGAAAAAAAAAGATTACTTTTATAAGTGGCCTTAAAATTGGGCATCTTTTCAGTTATCTGAGCAGTCTGCTCTTGACCAAGATCATTTCAGAAATGTGGTAAATCCCAGGAAGGTCTGTGCAACAGCAAACAGATAAAGGAAGGTTCCAGATGTGAAAAGAACAAAGAAAAATCCCTGAAAGTTTTTACTGCATTGGAACAGTAGAAGCAGCAGATTGAAAATGATGCCCAAGGTGAACTTAGCTAAATTATCACATGGATAACATCCAGGATTTGTGTCCTGGTGATTTCCCAACATTTCCTCAGGAAAAAGAAAAAAATCCCCTTGATTCTGCTGGAGGGAATGACCGCCAGCACATGACACAAAAGGATCTTGATGCAGTTACCTGCCTAGGAACACCCACAGCATGAATTCTGTAAGGAATAATGAATAACTATCTCCCTGTTTCTCAATCTGCTACTCAAGGGCATCATTTTAAATGGCCCAGGATAATTTGAAAGCAAGAAGGTGAATTCAGGATACATTAAAATTCACTGAAGGTACACCCAGGAAGATTTATGAGGTCAGGGATCCATTCCCAAGGAAATCAGGGGAGTGGCCTCCATACCCAAGGACAAATGGTAAAAATAATTTGCCTGCAAAGTTTGAACCACACATTTTCCCCCCTCCTACTCCACTTTCCTTGATGTGACAAATGTACACACACAAATTTTCTGCTCCTGTCACAGTGCTGTCACTGTGCCTTAGCACCAGGATCCCTTCATTCTGGGAGTATCAAGATACAGAAAGCAGATTGTTCAGAGTGTTTGAAAAGACATGACACCTGGTGTGAGAGAGGAGCCAAGAATATCAAATACACTGGTATTGGAGTGAAAGTCTATTAATGCATAAACAACAAATGTTTAATTATGGCAATTTTCAATCCCAAGTACAGAGAGCTGAGAATTTACAGGGTCCAAACACTCCTAAGTGCAGCTGTAATCTCTTGGCACTCTGTGGAATAGGAACTTGAAATATTGGAAAGGACTCCTTACCTTGCAAAGGCTGGCTGAAGAAACAGGCATGAAAATAAATTTTTATTGTGCTTTCTCCCATTGGCAGGTGTGTTCACACTAGGAAACATTCCTAGCTTGGCCGAGTTCCCTAAGAATTCATCTCACAGCTTTCATAGAAATAATTTATAAAGGGAAAAATATTTTTACTTGCATACAAAGTACAGCACAGCTTCTAGTAAATGCAGAGAAGAGCTGAGTTTGGAGATGACACAGGGGAGGTGGGAAGAGGGGGTTGGTCTGTGCCACTGGAAATGCCACTCACGTAGCCCCCAGGACATGTTGTGTCACTGAACACACTGATAAACATTGAGTCTAAACACAGCTAAAACAAATGACTGCTGTCCTGCTTCGTTCATAAATAATTCTGCTATTTACTTCTTACAAGTACTTAAAGAATACAAAGCAGAGTGTGGGGAAAGACACCTCCCATCCCAAGGAAGAGACAAATGGGATTCTTGACATAAATCAAATATAAGGGGACGATGGTGGGGATGGACAATAAATAGCCTAACAAAATAAGTGACTTTAAAGGAGGAGAATAGTTGGGAACAGATTTTAAAAGTCCAAAAGCCAACAAAAGGAGTTGCCAATTTGAGAAGGGCTCAGCTGGGTGGGGTGTGAAGTCAGAGGGGTGAGAGAACCGAATGAAGAGCTGCAGGAATAAAGAATAAATTCGTAAATTCCTCTTGTTTGTGAGTGATGCTGGAGCTGCTCAGAGATGGCAACACCTCCCTGCAAGGGCAGCAGCTCCAAGCTCCATTTGCAGTTGGTTTTCAGCACAGAGATTTTAGCAGTGACTCGAGAACAGGCTGCACCTCTGAGGAGAGGTGGGAAATAACCAAACTTAGCCCTGGAGTTGTGTTGGATGGTGAAGGACTGCTGAAGCACCAGTGAGGTAAGGAAGCAGTTTGGGAAGGAAAAAGAGGACAGATTTCCTTAAGTACAGAGGGACTACACTTTCAAAAGCACGGAGATGTGACTGTATCCCAGCCAAAAAGTCTATTTAAAATGAGATTTTAATCAGCCTGCCGAGTAAATAACTGCAGGCACCAGAGCAGAAGTACCTTGCTACAGTGCTGAGGCAGCGTCTGCCTCATTTTTAATCACAATTAATTGTGTGCTGAGATGAAAACTAAGCTGGGCTCTCAGCAGCAGCTTCCAGGGCACTATCATTTTCTGGAATCTCTGACAGAAAGAGACAAATAGAGCAGCAGCCTGAAAAGTGTCAGATCTAAGCAGTGTAGCTTATGTAACCTGATACAGAGTGTTGTCTTTGGTTGTAACTATTTTCTACTCCCATTATCTCCTTAATTGTCACTTCCAGGCCACCAGAGAAGTGGCTTATTTGAAGTGGCCAGCAAGACAAAACCCTGCATTCATTTGTAGTATCAAGAATTACTTTGAAAGGATCTGAGGAGTTGGTATCTGACCTCCGGTGTGCTGGGGGTAAGAAAAGGGAATTTATCAGTGATGGTGAAAGGCATTCTGCCATTGCTACACATTATCACAGACTCACCTTCGGCTTATCTGGAACAAGAAAAATCACAAATATCTGTATCTTTATAGCTCAGTAACAGTTCATAGGACGTGGCTAAAGAGAGAATCCTACAAATCAGAAGAAAGACTCAGCTGTGATGTGGCACAAAGGTCTCCCCTTCCCTGGGGGCAGAGGAGGGGAAGTGACTTCCAAGAGCTGTTTCATTCATAGGCTGCTCAGAACAGACCACGGCACTACAAACCAATTCCTACTGGCCCATAAAAAATAAATCTCCTCCCCGAGGGGAAAGCTGATAAAGCTTCATTCTGACTTTTCTGCATTATTTATGATCAATCATATCAGCAGAAAGTTATACTTGGTAGGAAGAGGTTCATCTTCCTGTAAGCTTTTTAAACTTTTGAGGGTCATTCATAGACTACAGGTGATACCAAGAAATCTCTTCTTGGTGAGAAATTTTCACTTTCCTATGAAAGGTCTTCCTAACAGATTTTTTTTAATCTCTGAAAAGCAACATTTTTCCCTGAGGAGAAATGATTTGAGATTATTTACCTGCCTATTTCTGAATTAAATAAAAATAAGGGTTTTTCTGAGTTGAAATAATTTATATTTAATTTATATTTGACTTTCAGTGGTCACTACAGTAGTTGAAACTTTTAGTGGAAGATAATGAATGTATTAAAGTTCTGATATTGTATTTTGGATCCCCTTGGCACAGGACTTAGGAAGTGCCACAGTGTTCCAGGCTGACAAACACAAATTAAATCAGGCCTGTCCTTCTTCGCTCCTGAATGCCCAAGGAAACAGCCCAGCTCAGCAGAGCCATTCACAGACTAGAAGAACAGAAAGAAGCACAAAAGGAACACATTGTCAGTGTGAAGGATGGGTTCTGTCTCTGTCTCTGGAAGATTTCACCCCAAACACCCCCGGAGCACTCACCCTGCTCACAGCACCTCCATGTCGGCGTGGACGGATCCGGGCGGCGAAAACCAAACCAAGGCCCCACTGACAACATCCAAAACTCATGTGCCAAAGGAGCAAAACCACACTCAGGCTCCAGACTACCCCAAAAACACAAGAGCACTCTGCTCCAGGCATCTGGTGTGCTTGGCTGGGGAGCAGAGCCGGGGCAGCGCCGAGGAGCCGCGGCCGCGCCGAGTTTGCTCCATCTGAAATTAGGGAACAGGGAGAAACTGGCCAGGCAACAACTCCTGACTTCAGAGCTGCTAAAGTGGGATGACACACAGGCAGTAATTACACACTGGGGTGTTACTAAAGCTGGGTTGCTCACAGGTGACTTCATGGAGCAGTGGAGTATCTCAGGTGATTGCTGCTCTGCAGTTTACACGCTGTTTGCAAAGGAAAAGCCAGCTGCATTTGGGTTGTAAATGACACCTTTATGTCATGCTCAGTTTATTACATAGCATGGACCTACTCAGGAGGCAGAAAGCAAAAACAAGGAAATTATCTTAAGCGCTCCAGCAAGCAAACATTTTTGCTGTTACTTCAAAGTTTTACAAACTACGTTAGAAAATCTTGTAATTGCACAGTGCTGTCTGGGAAAAGGTGGTGGGTGGGTTTAAATTCTTCCTTACCTGTAAAAGTTTTTAATGAATTTGTCCCCACAGGGGCTGTGGGAACACAACCAGGTGGGTTTCACATCCCTGTCACAGGCAATGGCTTTTCTCAGCTTTTCTACTCTGGAGCTGTTGAGCAATGGTGAATGCAGAATTCTTGTCTGGGACATACCAGAAGAGTGACCAGGGGTTCCTCTGCTCTTTTTATAGAATCTTTGCATTGTCACCAGAAATAGGATGTGAAAAACTCCCATGTCTTTGCAGTCAGACCTGCAAGGTGTATTTACAGCTGCTGGTCTTGAGTTAATTATTAGATAGGAGTTTAAGCATAACTATGTAGGCAGCAAAACAAGAATCTTTTTTCAGCTGCAGACAAGGGCAAAAAAAGTCAAGTTTGGGTGGTGCTTTTGGTGGGAGGTAGGTAAAAATGTGGAAGTAAAACAAAAATACCTTTGGATACTATAACACAGACATTTTAATCCAAAGACTATGGCATTAATCTACACACTTAAGGTAAGCTCCTCCTGATCATAAATT